ACAAGTAATCATCACAGTTACCTTCAATCTTCTTTAGTAATCTGTCCGCCTTGAACTGTTGTGCCAGAACACATAGTTTTTCGTCCAGAGACACATTACTTGTGAAACACAATATTAGAACAAGAAGAGGAAACAGGTTGGTCCACACAATAGTGTCCTGTAACACCTGGTGTAGGTCATATACCAGTTCCTCCGTGATAACGTTGAGAGCACTGAAACAAGACTGGGCGTTAGCACCGGCCATCAGTAATGGAATTAGATATTTCCCAAACAAGTTCCGTCTTGTTTCCATGTCTATCACAATCAACTTTGGCAGCAAGTCATTTCTCAATGCCAAAAGAATGGGGAGGTTACCCCCAACACGTTCATGGTAAATATTGGGGTTAGCACCATACTTCAGAAGAAGCAGAAACAGATCAAAATCCGCCTTCGACAGAGCAGATATCAAGGGAGGTAACTCCTGTGGGTTCTGTATATTGCATGGAAGACCTGCACGGAGGAGGAATTCAATTCCTTGACTGGGCCAGTTCTCCTCCATGTGACAGAGCACAGAGGCGCTGTTATCATATCTTAGCACAGTAAACAACAGATGTTGGTCCATCTCAAACAAGTCGTGATTCAATGGAAGAAATGCTTTCACGTTCAATCCTGCAGCAATAAGGATTTCCAGGCAGGTTGTGTTTTTCAATTTTAAGCCAAGTATTAATGGATGCATCATGGTGTTGACCGAGTTGAAGAGAACGTCTTGTCTTGTTACTGGTAACACCAACTGGAGGCACCTGATGTAAAAGTGATAAAATCATATCATGTATTGACATGGCATGGTCCTAGTGACTTCAGTATTGACGAAATCTTATTTTGATTTCCAACAATGGTCTATTCTAAAGAATCCCCAATACATGTATAGGATCAGAGACTTATCTGAAGGTTGAAACAACATACAGAAATTCTTTAATAAAGTTCCCAAATAACATAATAAATGTGAACTCAAAACATCAGTCTACAAGTGCATGTGAATATTGAAATATGTGAAATATTACAAACCTGATTATGAACTGCTTGAAATTCAAAACATATAGTAAATTCAATTTTTTGTGAATCTCTCATTACACAGTTTAAGCCTATGTACATACATATTCAAACTTTATTTTAATATTAACTCAATATGGAGGGTGCCAATAGTGGATCACTAAACCAACTTTTTTTCTTTTTTTGTCAAATCCATATACTGAATTACATATAACAATGGTTACATCGCGGAATGAATATAAAAGACCTAGTTGAATGAATTAATGTTCACGTGGAGGGGGTATGTAGGCTCTTAAGTAATAAAGTTTCCTTAAACAGACCACTGCTCAGTATAACACAGCTTAGCTGGTATCTCCATTCTTAGTTTAGAATTATTCTTTTGGTGTTACCTTTTACCCAAATTAATCAGTAGTATACTGAATCTTGTTTGGTTATCCATTCATATGTGGAAATATTCAAAAATTTAAACATATTTTTTGTAAATTGTACTGATCTGCGTGGGGTACACTCATCATGGACATGATAATTATATCTGGAAATCAATTTTAACTCTTAAATATGTCGCAACAAGGATCTCAAAGGTTTGCCAAACACCCAGCAACTTTGACACAGAGGAACAGGTTTGACTGTAAGTCAGACGACTCAAACCTTGGTCTATCCTTGTACACAGCAAAGTGAGCAGCCACAGCATTAAGGTCATTGACAGGAATGTTGGGGTCAGCACCGTTAGTAAGCAATAGACGTATGCAGTCTTCATGGCCCTCCTGGGAGGCTATCAGAAGGGGTGTTGCATGGTCATGTGTTGTTTTGTTCACTAGATCCAATTGACCTGAAATCACACAGAAATCAATATCACATTAAATAATGATGTGAAGAAGTCAATCTTAGGTCTAGAGATTGAACCAGTAGTTTTGTTTTAGTCAAGTGGTGGTGAATGCAAAAATATCCATGCAAAAAATGCTTTTTTTTATGAATTTGAATAACTCCACCCATATCAGTCATATCTCGTTGCCACTGGGCATTTCATATTTTTATTTATGTTATTGCTATTATACAGTGTCACAGTAAAATGCTGTTGCTTTTTCCTAAAGTACATCTACATTAGTGATAGAAACAATGTATTTAATGTTCTTGTGGTTCAAATTGACACAATTATATATTAATAGACATCATCAACATATTTCTGATGAGCTTTAATGGGAAAATGGAGGCAGAATGATGAGGCTTTAATGGGGAAAATGAAGGTAGAATAATGAGGCTTTAATTTATGATACCTTAAGGAGCAAAATAAAGAAAATATAGATCTAGTACAAAACAGCTTTAATATACAGGCAAGAATCAATGAAATAAACATGGTTTAGTAAGGAGAAGCAGGAATTCGTTACCCTTTTCCCTGGCAGTCTGTAGGAGGATTTGTAGGCAGTCCTTGTGGCCAAATTGTGATGCGAGAAATATTGGCGTCATGTCCACGTCAGCACACACATCAAGTCTGGCTCCATGTTTGATAAGATAGTCGAGGATGTGGGTGTAGCCCCGCTCAGCGGCGGTATGGAGTGGTGTAAACCCTGTGTAATTCTGGTAGTTTATCTGAACTACTGCACCCTTCCTCATCAACAGTCTCACACATTCAAAACTATCTGCACCTGTCGCTACAATTTGAAAGAAGAGAATCCTTTAAATTACAGCACTGATTCATATAATTACAATACATACTTTGAAATTCATTATATTCTTTATTTTACTGCGATTGTTTTTCAGCAGGAAAAAGAATGCAAAAATAGTGCTTTGCGAGGAGGTTCAAAGTGAACATTAAACCATATGAAACAGATCACTACAAAGCAGAAAATAAATCACCACTGATAAGCATCAACGTTAGCACATAATTCTTACACATTTCTATGGCTACTACTGTAATTAAAATCAAACTCATGTGCATATAATCTTTCAAGTGCTTTTCATTTTTCTTCATTCAATCTATAAATTGGACTTTATCTTTTTACAATATATTATTACACAAAACATAAGTAATATTGAACATGATTATATCACTATCGTTATTGAAAATAGATATGTATTTACCCTCCCACAAGGGTGTGAACATTTCCTTAGTTTCTGCTGTTGGATCAGCATCACAGTCCAGCAAAGTCCGCACACACTCAAAATGGCCGCCGCGTGCTGCCAAGATCAGAGGAGTTTCGTTTTCAAAAGTTCTCCATTCTGGGTCGACCACATCTGGGTATGAAAATATTCATTGTCATATATAGCTACACATATCTTATTTTTTTACAACTAGGAGATATACTTTCTTTAAATATGTTTTCAGGTA